CCTCCACAAATTCGCGACGTGTTTTCTAAAAGTTTGAAATGTTTTAACTTTGCATGGCTACATCTCTTGTGTGAGACGCAAGTGCAGCAGTCATATTTGTCCGTCTAAAAAATGTGCTGAATATGCATTCTGTGTGAATGGCTTGGTTTCGGTTTTAACCTAATCAAGATCTTCTCCGCATTGAGCTACTATATTTCTCTAATATTTTGAATGCATAACGCAGCAGCTGTGTGTCTCGTGGGCTAGACTAACAAAATATTAAAATGCAACAACGTCACTTACATCATCATCACCGCATATATGCTCCACTGAAGACGCTCCCTGACGCACTCCTAACATTTGATTGTACTATTTGTGCATTCAAATGCAAATGTTTATTTTAAATTCAACTAATATTAATTTTTTTTATTCACAATCTTCTCATCTGAGGCAGCCACAGCACTCAATTCAGCATGTGTTCATGTTTGTGTGTGCTGTCTGCGTCACTCATAGCACGTGCCTATATCGTGCACTATATCGAAATTTTTTTTATATCATTATCGAAGAAGGTGTACCATCGATAAATATCGATACCGTTTTATCGCCCAGGCCTATATCACACTATTTAATATTTACTATTACTATTTAGATAGTAAAAGCATATGCATAATGACTTCTGAAATGTATGTTTGTTTTTCTTGTCTATATATTTGTATGATTAGTAAATGGAATAAATGGGGAAAAAAATAAGATTATAGAAGACGATCTTAAAGCGCTACTTGCTGGAAGGACCATGTGAAATAATCCCAGAAGGTGCTCTATGGTTGCGTTTGAAGCAACTATTACAAGAAAGGGATCCAAGGAAATTCTTCCAGTCCAAAAAAGTTTAAAAAGCCTTTATTCACATTATGGCCATCACAAAAGAAACATTGAAAATGACTAAAAATCTGTGACACTGGGAGAAATCAAAAGAACCATTACAGGGGGACCTCTAACCTTGTTAGCCATTAGAAAGTATGATAACATATAAAAAATACAAAACAAATAATAATAGTAAAATAAAAACTAAAAAACAATCATAATAAAAACAACAATCATACTATAAATGGTTTTACGAAAAGGAAGTAAGTTTAATTATTTATTCGACCCAGGAAAAATGGTAGCTTTTAACTGAAATATCCAAAAAGCTTCCCTTTGTAAAAGACATTGTAGTCTATCATGCTTTCTAATAGATCCAGTTACTGTTTCCAAACCAATGATTTTTAAAGTCGATGGATCAGAATCATGAACCAACGCATAGTGCACTGCCATAGGGTAATCTTTGTTTCTTGTATGAATTCTACTTTTATGATGCCATAATCTGTCTTGCAATCTACGCTTAGTTTCATCCCCACAGAAACAATTACAAGGACATTGAAGCCTATAGATTACATATGTGCTTTTACAATTTATAAAGAATCTAATTGAATATATTTTATTTGCACCGACATCTATGAATAATTTAGTTTGAAATTCTTTGTCACAATGATCGCAATGTCCACACTTGAACATCCCTTGCATTCCTCTGTCCAACCATATTGTCTGTTTCATAGCAAGCAAATAACTTCTCTCAACTTTATCCTTGATCGTGGGAGCCTTTCAGTAGCTCAGATTTGGAGGTTCTTGGAAAACCTCACGTAAACTCGGATCACTTTGAATAATCCCCCAGTTCCTATTGATTATATGTTGAATTTAATCTGACACAATACTATAGTCCATCACAAAATATGGTCATGCTGAGCTGTTCTTCTTGCTTTTCTTTTTCAGTAGGTCATCCTGTTGTAATTGTGTCATTTTATTCAAAGCCTGATCAACCACTCTTTTTTGATATTCCCTCTGTTTAAAGCGATCTGCCATATCCCTAGCGAGGTGATTTAAAGTCCGAGTCTTGATCACATATTCGTCTTAAGCCCCGTTCACACCAAGAACGATAACTATAAAGATAACGATATTGGCGTCCACACCAGCGAACGATATTGTCTGTTTATTCTAAGCGCATGCGCGTCTGTTGCTTTAAATTATCGAGCTCGTTATAGCAGGATGGATTCTGATTGGCTGTCAATGTTTGTATCGTTCACCAGCTGGAAAAAATCGTTCTGAAAGTGATTCCAACGATATCGTTTCTCTGTGCCTTCATCGTTATAGTTGTGGTGTGGACTCTTCTACTCTATTCTTTAATACTGAGAATGATTTTTAGAACTATATCTTTATCGTTATCTTTATAGTTATCGTCCTTGGTGTGAACGGGTCTTTAGTCTTTGAAATTGGCCCAGTGGAATGCTTTCCATTAATTTATAATAAAAAATACATCTGTAAAATAAACTTTTATTTAGACTGTAACTTGGTTCTCTAATCCTATTTTTCACAAAGAAATTGTTAAAAAAATTATAAATAAAAAGAAAGTAAACACCAGTGAACTCGGGGATCTTGTAAACCTGTGAAATGGGACGGGGACTCTGTGCGCTCAGGAACTGGCATTCTAAGTGGTGTCAAAATAAAAGTCTCACATACTGTCAAAATAAAAGCCAATAAAATAAAAACCAAAACATCAGCCAATGTCGATAATAATAATAATAAAAAAATCCCAAATCAACTGATATATCAGTCAACTACTGATGAATAATTAATGTCTTAAATTGCTTGTACTTTTTATTTATGTAATTTATTTGTTTGACTGCAAACAATTTAGTGCATGTATCATAACCCAAAAGATGACCATTCCAAGATGGCGATGCTGTGGACGCATAGGGATCAAAGTTCTGTTCACATGTTAATATCTAGCTCTTAATTAGTTCCCCTTTTTCTGTCCTACAGGCAGAGGAACAACTACGAATAGTTGAAGAGCAGAGGAAAATACACGAGGAGCGTATGAAGTTGGAGCAAGAGCGACAGAAACAGCAGAAAGAAGAACAGAAGATCATTTTGGGGAAAGGGAAGTCGAGGCCTAAACTTTCTTTCTCTTTAAAGGCCTCCGAGTGATGAAAACAATGTGGCCAGGATTTGTCCAGACTTTCTCCAGACCACCTCTTCGTGTGAGACATTGTGCTGCAGCACAAGGTCTTCTTCGTAGGTCTCATGTGGTGTGTTTCAAATTCTCAGAACAACGGGAACAATCAGATTTGTCAGATACCCTTCATATTTTTCCTGTTTTGTATTACTGACTCTTGTATAGATAACCTCCACTTGTCCTCCATGTAATCTCTGCAAACGCATTCGGTGCGTTGTACGAGTAGGGTAAAAAAGGACCAGCCTGATCTGCTCGTTCATCCAAATGGTTTCCAGTTTCACTAATTCAAGGCCTCAACAGATTTCCTGGCAGATTTGATTGAATTATTTGTATTTTTTTAAATAGTTTATTCATAGTATAAAATAATTAGAAGGAAAGATTGACAGGGAAACTGCTTGAACTGGAATTCCATCCCTCTATTTTGAATAGCACAGACCACTATGAGTTAACTGGTAACCAGTCCAAACAAGAAGCATCATAAAACGAGAATAACCTCCTTTTATCATTTTTACTTACACGTTAATAATTGAACATTCAAGAGGTAAAGTGATGCTGTGATAAAGGGTACCTGGTCGTTGCATGTCAGTGAGCTGCGTATATGTTAGTGATGAGATGCTTTTAGAGGTGATCGAGTGAAAGGTTGCTGATTGGCCAGAATTTGTGTTTGTGGTTGAATATTTGACCCAATAAATCCATGAATGTGTCTTGTTTCTGACGTTTGCTTGCATATTTGTATTAACTTGTGTAGTTTTTAGGATTAGATTAAGCACAATTATACATAAAAAATCAAGTATTTAAAATCAAATAGGAATAATATGCATTCGAGATGTTGTGTCTGTCACAAAAGCTAGTTGTAAGAATCTGGAAAGCATGGGACGAACAATTCAAAGTGGGTTAAAGTTTTGAGGTCAGGATGTCATCACCTAATGCTTTAAACCTGCAGCCTAATTAATAGTTTGCTTGACACCTCTGTTAGGTCGGCACAAGCCCAGAGCGCAAATACGCAAAGGATTCAAGACAGACCAGACGATGAAAGTGCAAACACATCACACCTTAACACCGACTGACATTCAATTATCTCTTACCTGTTAGTTTTCCCTTTTGATTATTGTCCAAACACATGAAGGACAAAAGTTGCCTGAGCCATCAAACAAATGTTTCATTGACTTCTTTTAGAAATGTTTATCTATATGTGTTCTGTAAGGTAATAGCTATAATTTTGAGAAAGCATCTTTTTTCCAAATCGTTAAATGGGTGACGAAACAACACACACACCCGTGTGAGTAATACAGATTTTTAAGACTTTTTGAGCTTTAACGTTACGTGACTAAGCGGATTAATCTTGTGAAAATGCCTTTACTAAGCTTCCATAGGGGTTTAGGTTAAAATAAAATATTAGTTATTTGATTTCAAACACATGTAGGCCTAAGATATAGATTATTTAGCCTGTATAATATAAACATTTTATACATAAATATCGGTATGTAGCCTATATACAGTGTATTTCCAGTCTTTGTGTCAATTTTTTTAGACTTAAAACTCCGCTAAATTACACACACACACACACACACACACACATATATATATATATATATATATATATATATATATATATATATATATATATAT